GGGGTTTAGGGTTTAGGGTTTGGGGTTTAGGGGTAGCATAAGGCAGGTGGGGGTTTTTGCGGGTTTAGGGTTCAGGGTTTAGGTCAGGGTTTGGTGCTATAGTCCGAAGTGTTGGGGCTTGGGGGGACCTTTGGAGGTGCCCAGGGGCAGGCATCTCTTCACACTACTGCAATCAGTTGACCATTTCCCTAAGCCCTGAACCCTAAAGCCTAAACTCTTTAAACCCTAAAACCCTAAGCCCTAATACTGTTGGGTTGAGCACCCCCCCGGAAACCCGCAAGCCCCCAGCCCGAAACCTGCTTGGGTCCAGGGTCTAGGGTGTAGCGTGAGGGTTGAAGGTTTGGGGTTTAGGGGCCCTGAACCCTTCATGCCAAAAACCCTGCGGTAAACCTTAAGCCTTAAGACCCCCAAACCCTATACAAACCCTACACCCTCAACCCTAAACCCTCAACCCTAAACCCTAAAAACTTCAACCCTCAACCCTAACCTATACCGCCTATACCCTCAACTCGATATCCCAAGCCCTATGCCCTAAACCCCATAGAGCCGTGGCACGTGAAGAGCCCCAACGACCAAGCGAAAGGATCGGCTGCTCAGCCGGCGGGATGCTGTCCCTGCGCCTCCTGAGGCCTTGGCCACAGGGTTTTGGAGTTTGGGGGTTTTTGGGGTCTAGGGGTTTTGGGTTTCGGGTTTAGGGGTTTGGGGTTTAGGGTTTGGGGTTTCGGGTTTAGGGTTTGGGTTTTTTGGGGTTTAGGGTTTAGGGTTTGGGGTTTGGGGTTCAGGGTTCTGGGGTTTCAGGGCTTGGGGTCTAGAGTCGAAGGTTTGAGGTTCAGGGCTTCGGGATTTAGGGCTCAGCATGCGTGCCGGTCACTAGGTTTGGTCTGGGACAGCGGGTGTATAGATCACCCCACATGACCCCCACCTACGTAAAGTTGGGCTCAGACTAAACCCTAAACCCTAAACCCTAAACCCTAAACCCTAAACTCTAAACCCTAAACCCTAAACCCTCAACCCTAAACCCTAAACCCTAAGCCCTAAGCCCTAAGCCCTAAACCCTGAACCCTAAGCCCTAAGCCCTAAACCGTGAACCCTGAACCCTGAACCCTAAACCCTAATCCTTTGTTCAGGTCTTGGGTTCCCTTGTCAACCCCTTTAAGCAACAGGGGGGGTGAGTTTGATTTATCGGGCGGAGCTCATGGGGGTAGCTACCTAGGGAAGCTTAGGGAAGCTTCGGGAGCCTGAGGCAGTAGTGGGGAGTATTCGGGAACCTTGGCTTATGGACTCCCTCAATTAAGAACGCTACAATTGATTAGCCACAATCCCTGTAAAGCCTTTTCAAACCCCATCGAAAGTTTCAACTTCTATACGGCCCCACTTAAACCCTAAACGCTAGTTCAACCCCAAACCCTAACCCTAAAACCCATCCAAGGTAAGGGCTCAGGGCTTTGGGGCCATCAGTTGTCGTGAATCGAATACCAGCAACATTATCAATATTATCAGTATCAATACTAAATGTTACTTGAGTTTCAGAGTTACCGCCACTATTTACATCCAATGTATCACCACAATCCATTTCAGATTTTGTTGTTGGGCAAAGTGTTTCAATTGGTGATAGGAAGAGTAAGCCCTAAGCCCTAAGCCCTAAGCCCTAAGCCCTAAGCGCTAAGCGCTAAGCCCTAAGCCCTAAGCCCTAAGCCCTAAGCCCTAAGCCCTAAGCCCTAAGCCCTAAGCGCTAACCCTAAACCCGCGCAAAAACCTGGTAGTCGCTGGTAGTCAAACCCAAGAGAGCCCCATTTGACATAAGAGTTCAGGGTTTAGGGTTTAGGGTTCAGGGTTTAGGGTTTAGGGTTTAGGGTTCAGGGTTCAGGGTTCAGGGTTCAGGGCTTTTCGTCGCAAGTTGGGTGGCTCACAGTTGGCCGTCCTCGGGGCAAGTGTGAGTGGTTCTATTTAGGGTTCCCCGATACAAAGACCAAAAATCTCCCAAAAACCCTGAACCCTCAACCCTAAACCCGAAACCCTAAACCCTAAACCCTAAACCCTAAACCCTAAACCCTAAACCCTAAACCCTAAACTCTGAACCTTCGAACCCTAAGCAACAAAAGTCCACGCCTCCCAGATCATTCCCCGGCGTGGGCCTCGTGGGGGCGGTCTCGCCGGCACCGCTGCAGGACGAGGAGTGGGGTCAGGCAGATTGAGCGCCTTAGGGTTTAGGGTTTAGGGTGGTGGAGGGTTTAGGGTTTAGGGTTTAGGGTTTAGGGTTTAGGGTTTAGGGTTTAGGGTTTAGGGTTTAGGGTTTAGGGTTTCGGGCTCCCTAAGACCCAAAACCCCAAACGAGCAGCGGAGGTGCCACTCTTCGTGAAAAATCTCTCCCACCTGCTGAGCCACTCCCAGAAGCGGCTGGTGCTTATGTGGGGTGATCAGGCCAGGGGGGGCTAAATCCTGAACCCTAACCCTTAAACCCTAAACCCTAAACCCTAAACCCTAAACCCTAAACCCTAAA